TCCTTTCCTGCACACTCGAAGAGGAACTACGGTCTACCGAGGCGGACGATGAACCATCGCTAGATAAAGATGGTCGCATGGATGAGGGGGAGATCGATAAAGAACACTCCGACACACAAGCAACATCCATCAACCATCGTAGACACTCCCTGTTATCTGTCACACAAACAGAACCCGAGAATCCAGTTGCAGATATTGGGAAGACTACACCCATAATCGAACCACAGCCAGGCTCAGAGCTACAATCAGACCGACAGCGGGTACCACAGAACATCCACAACACCATAGGTAATACAAAAGTCAGCCGAGGGAAGCTAGAATTTGCACCGCCTTAGATAGTAGAGGAAGCCTTTACCAGAGAACATCAATCAAATTGGGCAGATGCATACGACGACGTTGACGAGCACAAGGTACCGAAGGATGCTAACGTCATCTCCTCTCATGTGATATACAAGGTGAATAACCTGGAAGACGGCTCCATGCAGCTCAAGGGTACAATCGTACTACACGGAAATCGAGACTCAGAGAAAGAGAACATCAGAAAAGATTCGTCAACGGCGCAGTTTGACATAATCAGGCTCCTTCTATGCATAGTTTCCCTACTACGATTTAGGCTTGGTATGGCCGATATCAAGGGTGCATACCTCCAGAGCGGTCCGATCAAAAGAAGCATCTATGTAATTACATATGGTCTTAAGACCACCTCGAGAAGGAAAGGGAAGCAGAGGAAAACTTTGGAAGTTGAAGAAGCTGCCCTATGGGATCGTCGTGGCAGGGCGACAGTGGGCTAAGGTAATAGAAGACTGGATGTTAACCACCGGGAAGTTGGAGAGAGGATTTGGACTGAGTCAGCTCTACGTGAGGCGAAACGAGCAGGGTCACATTGCGATGGTAGTAGCAAAAGTTACCGACGACTTCATTATCGGAGGAAAGGTACAATCGATCCGTGATTTCGTCAGTGAGATGAAGAAGCGTTTTGAGGTAGGGAAGGTAGTCATAGACGCAGGATTTTTCTTCAACGGATGTGAAATTGAGCAGGACGAAGAAGGGAACGTCACACTTTTGATGACTACATACATGAAGCAACTCAATGAAATCGAACTCAGTAGAGCAAGAAGGAAATGGAAAGACGAAAAGGCAACCGATGCAGAGATTTCGATGTTCAGGAGTGTGACAGGCCCTCTCCTATGGCTAGGTGAAGGAGTACTGCCCCCAGCCGCTTACGCATGCTCAGCATTACAACAGAAGATTGCCGGACTTCGAGTATCCCATCTCATGGAGGCAAACACAATGATCCGTGAGATACTCAGGCTCAATCCCATGATACTATTCAGAAGTCCAGAAAGTATCGAAGAGGCAATAATATGTACACTCTCAGATGCAGCATACAACATCAGTTCAGCAAAGTCTTATGGTCAGTCTGCAATTTTCGCAAGCCTACGCATCAAAACTGCAAGAGGTTTGCAAGTGTACCATGCCATCGATTGGTCAAGCACTAAACAGAGAAGGATATGCTATTCGAGTTACGGAGCCGAAATCATCGCCTGTGCCGATGGAGATGACAGAGGGTTCTACCTACGCGGGGCATTCAGATTTATGTTCCCTTATAGGCCCATCATGAACGAGCTACAGGTGAATTCACACGGCTTATATGATACGATTACCACACTACATGAAGGGCATGACTACAAATTGAGACAAACGGTGCAACGGATCCGGAATAGTTTTGATGCTGAGGAAATTGATGTGCTGCGATGGATACCAGGCCGAAGCAACGTTGCTGACGCACTTACCAAGATGGATGTACAACTGTGGAAACTCACCCACGATATGTGCCTAAGCGGAAGACTCGTAGTGGACTTTGGTCAAGGCAAAGCCTTGCACAGCAAAACCTGGAGATAAAGCAATCGCCAATTGCCCGAAGTTCAACATTCTCTCGGAACGAACAACGACATGATATCATGGTGTAAGCAATAAGTCCACTCAGAGTACCTGAGTCGAATGGGATGTGTGTAAGAAGTAAGCAATTTCAATTACTATTGCTTACTCATAATTACAAAGCGCAGCACCACAAGTGAACTGACACCGGTAGTCCACGTACGATGTTAACTCGAAGGTATACGCTCGAGCGACACAGCCTTCAGGAGGTTGTCAACACAACAGACCTAATTGCGAAGAGGCGGGAAAAGAAGCACCCATATCCGATGTAAGGTAATTGGGCTAAAGGATCCTGAATGCAGTCTAGAAGGGCAAAAAGAAAGCCACACCGACACCGATAGGAAACGAATCGAGGAACGCAAAGGCAAAGCATCGCACCGAGGAAATGCAGAAGTGAAAGGACGCCGAGTAGAATCGAAAGGCTAATCGAGAGGAAGAAGCGGGAAGCGAGGTAGATATATGGCTAGTCCTAGGAAGAGAGGAACAGAGAGAGAGGTAGCGGAGAAAAAAAGCAATAACACCTCAGCAGAGCTTGTCTAAGCTCCCGGCATAGTGCCGAAGATTGTGTTTCCATTGTCCACCATTCCATCATATCCCTTATCTCCCCCCTCTGTCGTCGATGCTCTATCTCCCTTGGCCTCCAAACCTCCTGGACAGTAACTCAGACATCCTCAATCTACACCATGTCTGAACTTACGAGAACCGTACAGTACACGCACCCCTGAGCCCCCGACAGCAACGGATTCTAAAACGTTTCATTTCCTTGTCTATTCCGCTGCAAAATAAAAAAATCCCTGTCTCCGTAAATCCCGCACTATCGATCTCTGCACTCGCGGCACCGTCGCACCACAACCCCTCACCCACCGCCGCCCTCCAACGCGTTTTTCCGCTCACGTCGCCAGTTCGCAACTCGCTGTACCTCCTCTCCACAGAACGATGTCTCTCGTGCAGTGCCGCCACCTGCTCGTGAAGCACACTGAGTCGCGCCGGCCGTCCTCGTGGAAGTCGCCGCAGATCACGCGGGGAAAGGAGGAGGCCCTCGCGATCCTGTCTGCGTACCGCGAGCGCATCGTCTCTGGCGAGGTGTCGTTCGAGGAGCTTGCGCGCACCGAGAGCGACTGCTCCTCGGCCCGAAACGGCGGCGATCTGGGCGTGTTTGGCCGCGGCCGCATGCAGAAACCCTTCGAAGACGCCGCCTTCGCGCTCGACGTGGGCGAGGTCTCTGCCATCGTCGAGACCGAGTCTGGCGTCCACATACTCCAGCGCATAGAGTAACAACGCAGTGCATATGTCGTTTGATCTTTTGGTTTACATCCTGAGCTGGTTGTTGCTGCACTAGTTGCTGACCGACAATAAAAATACATCTATAGCCCCCTGCTTCAAATGCCTTCCGTCACCTTCTCCGTTTCTGCCTTCTGACCTGCTCCCTAAGGCGGGATATCCTGCTCTGCGGCACGGTCGGGTCTCCCGCCCTCCTCTTGGGCGGGCCGACGCGAATCCTCTTCGTCATCTCGACCTTGCGGCCCTTGTCCATCTCCCCATCGCTATATCTCCTCCTCAACCGTTCGCTTGCCTTATCCAGCAGCAGCTGCTCCTTCCTCATCTCCATCTCGAAGAGCTCGCGCCACCACACGACCTTGTCCGGCAGCTGGGTGATGGCGTAAGTCTCCATAACCATCCTAGCCCAGAGCGCGTCCAGCACGGCCACGCGGGAGGGGTTGTGCCTCTCCAGCATTTTGAGCTGCGCGGCACCGATGGCCGGGGTGGCCAGCAGCAAGAACACGTGGTCGTCTGCAATCTTGGACAAATCCACGAGCCTCCCCCTCGCCGCAGCAACGCGGGCGGCGGCCAAGGCGAGCGCCGAGAGGCGTGGCGCGCCGCACAGGCGCATCATCTCCGCGTGCTCCTCCGTCGTCGTCGGGACGAAGCGGGAGAACGGGGCGACGGCAGCGTCGTACGTGCGCGGCGGGGCTGGGCAAGCCGCGCGCTCGCGCGGCATGATGCACGGCAACGCCGGCGAGGCCCTGGGGCGCTTCGAAGGGAAGGAGGCCGAGTGGCGGCGCAGCGCCGGCGGGGAAGGCGCGCGTGGCGCAGCCGCGTCGGACGCGCGCGAGGTGGGCCCTAACTGGGCGAACAGGTGCGACCGGTGGTCGGCGGGGCCACGTCGGCGGTTCATAGTGAGGGTGGATAAGGAGGGCGGTGGTCAAGGTCTGGTCTCGAGGGAGAGGTTGTGGAAGGTTGGGTTGGCGTGGGTGCGGGGATGGAGGGCGGAGGGGGACCGTGACGGGGAAAGGAGGGGGGGAGGGAGGGGGGGGCGGCGGGGGCGGGGCGGGGCACCCCGGGGGCAGGGCGCCAGGGACGGCAGCCCCCACTGGAGGGCCAGCTGCGGCTACCTGGAGGACGTTTTTTGAGGAAATTTTCGGGATACCAGTGCATTCGGGACGGCGAGGCTGGTCGGTAGTTGCGACTCGATGCGGCGGTACGGCCTTGCGAGACGGATGGGCGGCACATGGAGCTTGTCGGCGGAACTGCGGGCGCACGAAGTGTGGTCTAACTACGTGCGGATCTAATTCAAATGTCCATGACTGTTGTACGGGGTGGCGCATGGGCGCGCGCCGCCCGCTAGTCTGCATGAGATTCTCTGGCATCGCTGGTAAAGCGCGCCGGCACGGTACGCCGGCGTCTCCATTTGCGTATACTTATTGAAAAGTGGGCGATGCGGCGGCCGTGCGACGAACGGCACGCGTGGCCCCGCGCACCCGGTGCGCGGAAAGGAATTCGGCGGAGATCGTTTGCACGCACAGGGTGACGGCGCGGCGTCCAGATCGGCGAGGGATCGCGCTTGCGGGTCTCACTACGACGTCCATGAGGGAAGGAACGGATGGGCCGCGGGAGGGGAGGGCGGCCGCGGCAACGTCTCCTTTATGTACTGTAACCCTGTGGCCATCCAACCCTGTATTGCACACGTGTACACGCCATATACTATTCAGTGTTTTCAGCCTGAAAGTACAATTGTAGTACAGTAGTCGTGGGCGTGACGATTCTTCAACTGGTATTGGCTTATGCAAGCTCTTACAGCCCATTCCGCCGCCATCTGCACAATCCTATTGGCTTATAAAATATCTTACAGCTCATTCCGCCGTCATCTGCATAACCCTGCAAATTCATTGGCCGCGACACGTACCCCGACTAAGCATACCTTTCCACCTTCACTATCCCTCCCTCGCGGGCCACCCGTGTCCCGTACTCACTTCGACTCGCCCCGTCTCTCACAGCCCCCGTCTCTCACAGAACCAACCCACCCATTTCCTCCGTATCCATTATGCCACCCTACGCCCTCCCCTCCCGTCTCTACCTCGCCCGCCCGCGTCATGTCCTCCACCCGCCGTTCCTTCGTATGGGGCTTCATCGCTCTTCTGCTCGCCCTGGCTTTTCTCCGCTCCCTCGCCCCCGAGCGTACGGAGTACGCCGTTAGGAACCTCTTCGAATTCAAGGACCGCCGTAGTGGCCTCCAACCCCAGCTCACAGAAGTTCAGCGCCTGAAGGACGAGCTCCAGAGGGAGCGAGTCGCCCTCCAGAGGTGGAAGGAACAGCTTGACCTGCGAAGTCAAGCTCAGAACGATACACACCACAACCCCCGCCCTGTCGTACGCCCAGATCACCTCCCGGCCGCCCCACCAGATGACCCGGACGCTTTCACGGACGACACCAACACCCAGCAAGGTCGTGAGGAGACAGACCTATCTACACCGGACAATCACGATCCAGAAGACGAATCTCACCCGCACTCAAACGATTTTGACGACGTCGATGAAGATGCTGCGCCGCTGTCAGACGACGAGTGTCCCATTATTGTCGTGCCCGAATCCTCGTCTACGGGTTTGGGCACTCAGATCGAGCACATCTGGACCTCTCTCTCCCTTACCCTTGCCATCCGCAATGCCTGCGTAGTCATTCCCTCCGTCATCTCGTCGTTCGGTGCCTCGCAGCCCGACCGCCCCGTCCCTTTTCATCAGGTCTTCGATTTGCCAGAGCTGGCGCGCACAGGCGTGCGCTTTGTCCCGCTGCGGACTTGCCAGGAGAATGGCATGACCAACGTGTTTGACGACAGAGGTGCCGAGTCGGCTATTGTTAAAAACTTTGCGTTGTATGTCAAGGAGAGTCATCCTAATCTTGCGAAAAACACTACTCTTGTGCGGGCTGACTCGAAGGGGTACCGGTTTTTAAAATCCAAACTCGTTAACTATGACGTCAACGTTGTTGCTGAGTATATGCGAGACAAGCTCCCAGAAGAACCCGGAAGACATTGCGTCGGAGTGGGCCTTATGCGAGCTCCGATAGCGATCAATCCTGACGTACTGGCACACTTCTTCCCGGCAAAGCACATTTCTGATTACATTGATGAGAGGTTTCCTGCATTGAACACGACACTCTTCGTTAAGCTCCGGTGGAGCAGCACAACATGCGACAAAGCACACACAAAGAACGGAACTGTTTGCATTTTCTTAGACAGCATCGTGCCTGTTCAAACTTATGTGAATGCAATTGCCCACGCTGCAGATATGATAGGAGCAACTGCTATCTACTTGGCAGTCCCATTGCATGTTCCTGACGATGTTACTGAATACATTGCCGAGCACCTTAACGTTATGGACCCAGTCCTGCTGGAGGTGGGGGGCGATCTCTTTACTGCAAATACCCTCGAAAGGGAATTAGCCGTGAGGTCGGTTGGTTTTGTGCCTGATGGAGGAGCGTGGGGCAATTGCGTACAAAAGACGAGACAATCGCATTTCCCACACGCATACGACGAGAACATCGATTCTATCACGATGATTCAGAATTGGAAAGACGCGGGGTCTCCAACGGCCTCATCGCTCCTTAGAGATGGTGTGGTCAAGCAACAGCACACCAATACGCACAAGCCACAAGCTGCCTCAGTTGCACCGGTTCAAAGCGTTAATGACGAAGATCCAATACATGCCGAAAGCTCTAAGCGCGGTCAGCCTGTCCCTGTGAAAAGGAATAATGGCGGTGAGAAGAAAGGAAACGTGAGTGAGGCACGCCAGCCAGAAGTTGAAGCACGAGAAATGCCATAGGATGTCGTCAATATTAACAAACAGGCTATGGAGCAAATCCAATTAGATTAGGATTCGGCGCCAGACGTGGAAATGCAAGAAAACGTCTGGAAACCCGCCGCGGCAGTGAATACACAGTGAAACAGCTCTCGAGTAAAGGAACTCGAACCAGGAATCCGCGCTAGGATTTAAGGGACAAGATGCGCTGTACGAAGCGCGTCGTAGTGAACACACTCTTCAGAATATCAGTTTGAATCCGGAGCACTGGTCAGAAATTGAAACTCAGGGTATGCCACAGAAAAACATTGGTTCCAAGGAACATTCTGCTCCACAAAGTGATAAATCTGCGTCTAGAGTTGATCTGCAGGAATCGTACGTAGAGGTAGTTCCTCAACCAAAGTCCAGCCTATGAATATGAAGGGAACAATTATGTCTTCCTGTCAACAACCTTGTCACCTTGAGGCGGGTTCTCAACAAGGTTCAAGGCACATGAATTCTTCTCAATATGCAAAAGTAGACGAGGAACAAGCACAGGAGTTACTTCAAGCATTGCTTCAGCGAGGTCACCAGTTATTGTCGCTAGGACAGGTTCGGCGTAACTCTGAACACGCGCTCGAAGCACCACATCTGCTGTCCTCCTGATGCAGTGTGGCTTACATCCTGCTGTACCGAAATGCATTGGAGACGACGGTCATCATTTGGAATTCCTGCTTTTGGATACTACGGCACTGTCGCACTCACACCAAGACCTCGTCGAGTTGGAGCTGGAGAAAGATCTTGAACAGGAGTTACAGGCACTATGCCGCTAGGATTCAACGGAAACAAGCTAGTGAAATAGTTTTCCCTCGTCCCCGCCAAGTCACAAGTCTCAGGCACGCCGGACATGTTGTAAATATCTGAAAGCCATAGAAAAGAAATAGAGAACGACCATTAGCACTTGTGGAGAACGCGATGAAATTGGCTATGAAGATACACGGATTTCACTTACCTCTGATCCACGCAGATATCGCCGGATAGTCTGCACGAATCGTTTTCCGCGATGCCTTGAACAGCAGAGCGTACACGGCGTCAAACCGAAACACTGTCGGAAACAGCCGGACGTCAGCTTCTGTGATAACGACGGGACTGAACAGGAAGCGCGACGATTGCAACCGAGCCTCCACATCATCTAGGCATTCAAACAAGTCATTTTGAGCCTCCTCATATGCCTTTTGCGACGTCGCAAACCCACACCGATACACACCATTATTAACACAATCGTACAACCTCACGCAGAAGCGATCCATATCGTCCACATTAACTCCAAATTCATTCTCCTTCCTGGGCCGCAGCCACACAGTAGTTTCTTCATCTATGTTCACCCTGCCAGCCAAATCGCCCAAGGAGCGCAAAATATCCGCTGACTCGTTCGAAACAATCCCTCCCCCACCCATGGGTTCCATCATCAACGGCGCAGTAAATCTCCCCGTGTAACCGGGTTCCTTCTCCAAATATACATCCCTGAGCAAACCTTCCTCTTTGTTTGTGAGTTTCCAGAGTCCATCATCCCCTGGCACGACATATCTCACGTCAACGTTCTCCAAGCGCAGCAAAGCAAGCGCGAGGAGAACTCGGTGGCACCATTGGCACGCCACGCCCACGTAGACAGCGTAATTCGACTCTGGCTCAAGGCTTGGAGGGGGAGCTGCAAGAGGGGAGGCGGGGCGCATGTAGCGTCCCTCGGCGTCTGATGGAGCGAGCTCGGCCATCATGATGCGCCAGAATTGACGCCAGGTGAAGCGAGCGGTGCGGACAAGGGTAGGTAGGATGGAGAGATTGCGGCTGAGAAGAGTGCGGCGTGGGGGAGACGGCTTTGCGGCGCTGCAAATGAGGAGGGAGCGGGGGCGGACTGGCCGGGTGGGGAGCGGGTGCGGGATGAAGGACGGAGTCATTGTGACGCGAGTTTGGAATGCAGTTGTAACGTGAATTCCAGGGAGGAACAAAGAGTGCGCGTTAGTGGAGCAGTAGAGCAGCTGGAAGAGACTGTGTGTGAGAGTTATCTGGAGTCTTGCGGGATTTGGAAGAAATGAAGAATCGGGGTGACCGGCTGAGATAGGTATCGTGTACCCTTGATGCTGTAGGAGTGCGGAAGAAATCAGGACATGTTTTCAGATTTGCAAATGGAGGAAAACTGTTGCGATTCCTTTGTTTTCTGCTACAAACACATATGTATTGTACATGTATTGGAACACAGTCCTTCGGCTTGATTTCCAAGCAGACAAGTGCTGATGCGTTTGTACACGGAAATAGGCGACGGGGCACAGAGTCTTAGCGTACACCTTGTAGCGTGACGAAGAAATGTCTACCATTTGAACCACTTGAGAAGGACTGTTAGAAGCACTTTAACCGACAGCCCGTTTGAGGCACCCCCAACCATCCCGCCTCCTATCCACCTCCTCTTCTTCATAAATCGTTTCTCATGTACTCTCGTCCAGGTTTCGTTTCCTTTCCGTCTAGCGTAACCCCTCTCAGCCGTTTAGAGAAAGGAGTAAATTTTCTCTTAAAGCTCCGCGCTCCAGGGCGACCACATTGCTAGGTGGATACAGTCTGTACTGCAACATTGCTACAATCAAGTTGTGCCAGAAACTGAAACCAAGGTTTATTAAGCAAGCACTTGTCTGAGGAGGTTGGTTTCTTTTCTCACAGCTGTTGAAACTTTAAACATATACCAAACCGTGGCATCATCACACTGAGAGCACACTGGAAACATATGTCGCTGGGTCTTGAATTCGAGCAAGAAATCGCCATGGGAAAGATGTACATTTCTTCAGCCTTTTCCGACAAACAGCTAGTTACAATAATTGATTTGCTAGAGCGCTGGTGGGGTCTGAAGAGCGAAGGAGACTCTCATAAGAGAGTGAATGTGCTCCATGAGTTCAATGCATGTGGCCACGTTTAAGAGGACTCTTCCGATCTAACAAAGCACAGTGGACAGTATTGTGAAGAATTCATGTAGGGTTTATGATCTCCTTCGTGACAAATTGTAGATGTTGGGCGTCGAAGGCTAACAGTTTAATGGAGGCATGACCCTCTTCGACGGCTACGCATGGGTGAACGCTGAACTTAGGGACAGGGCGATATTTCATATGAGACGTGGGAGTAGTGGAGAGTAGGAGATGACGGATACGTCTTTGGCACTTTATGTCATCATTTGAAAGAAAGACAACGAATGATTTACTTGACGTACTTCCAGCTGCTCGATAGATTTTGGAAAGAAAGTAATGTTGGGGGGATTAGGAGAGGCGAAAGAACACTTTCAAATTACGATGCTGTGGCTTGTCGGGATTGATAGGAGTCGCCGAGAACTAGTGCGCAAGATCTTACATGTTGTGGAGTTAGGATTGATAATCATAAACACGTACATGTGTGAAACAAGTGCTCACATATGTGGACAGTTGAAGTAAAGTAAATGCGTACGCTAAAGTATAAATCGTGCAATGCTCGGAAGGTGTCCAGAAAGCGTTGAAAAATGGGCTTCACGGCTTTCCTGCGAACGAGACAACTATCCTTTTTTAAAAAACGAACGGAGATGAACCCCGTTTTTTATCGAACTCCCTGCAAAAAAAGATTCTTTGTTACAACTGGAGAGTTTTCTCTATCTGTCTTCGATGGAGCAGATTCTGTGCTGAAGATGTACAGTCAAAAGGTGGTCGCGACGCTTCAGCTAGATGGTAGAGGGATTGCAGGCCAATGCTTTGCCTTGAACAGGAGTCCAAAGTGTTGCAGCTTCTAGGATTGAAGAGTGTGGGCGTGGGAGATACGTATCGACTACAAAGTTGAAGAAAGAATACGTACTGGAAGAGGAACTGAACGAGTTTTAGAGAGCAAGAAATTTAACAAGGTTTCTGTGTGTATTGTTTTTGCGTAGAACAGCGATGAGCAAATGTGCTAGCATGATAGCAGCAGGAAGCAAAACATTAGAAGAAAGGATTCGGCGGAGTGAAATCTGGCAGACAAGGTGCATGACTCATGTGACCAACGGCCAGCACGTGCCTTTCTGGCGATATCTTTGGCAGTTTTGTATTTTTTCTACACCGACGTGGAAAAAGACCAGCCGTGATTTCGTTTGACGGAGGTACTCCAGAGAGCAATGTGATGAGTGGGAATGCGCAGTTTCTGGAGTTGGCAACTGATGCAAAGGTGGCTGTTGTTGACGAGGCCCAAAAAGTAGTGGGAGTAGAGTCAGGACGCAGAATTATGCCCTAGAACAAAGAACTACTGTACCAAGAAGTCTGTGGATGGGAGAGAGTGAGACGGGGTTGCTGTTGCAGAAAATGAAATGTGGAGAAGAAACTCAGTGATTGACGGATAGTGCAACGCGACTCCCCAACACAGCAAGAGGGATGATGGCTTTGCAATCAGGTCTCATCGCTGTAAATGTTATGTTCGGTGTTGCTGTATGTACTGAACCGCGTTCGCATTCCGTAGCAACGCGGCGCAGCTTTGCGGTACGGTTCAATGTGTAGCGCGCATCCAGGACTGGATAAAGTTTAGGGTAAAAGTCGCTGTTGACGTGGAGGATGGGATGTTCAGGGAAAGCGAGTTGCACCTCAACTAGAAGCTCAAAATGAATTAGGACCTTGCTGGTGCTCTCCTATTGGTGTAACTACATGCCCTGGTCACTCGAGCTTTCTGGCTGGCCAATAGAAATCGCGTACTTGCAGACCTCCACGGCTGCTTCGGAGTTGGCTGATTTTTTGTACGATACACATCCAGGTTTATTTTCTCGGTCGGATGCGCAACTTCGTAGTCGCTGGGAAAAGATATCTTTCGAAGTAATGGCTGCCACACCCGTACGCATTGGCGGTGTCCGGGGCTCTTGGCAGTGATCAGAAGCTGGCATCATGGCACGCTCCAGAAAAGCCTTCGTCTACCAGTGGCGAATGACGTGGAGCATGCAGTGGAAAGGGACTGCATTCGGTGATTCGTGTATTCTGTGCGAATCATCTTGTGGCCATGGCGCTCTGCAAAATAAGATCAGTGGCGGAAAGCATGGCTGTACAAGGAAGATACTGAAGTTAGCAAACAGGGAAGTGAGCTCTCTACCCTGCTGATAACCGATAGCTCGTGCTGAGTGGTGTAACGCAGATGTCACAGTTTTTGCACTTGCGTTCTTTGCAAACGAAACAAAGCGGTCTCCTGCATAGCGCGGACCAGACTGTCTCACGACACATGGTCACCTGACTAGGACAAGAGAGGCAGCCCAACACTTGCTGTACCCAAGGGTACTGACGGAAATGACTGAGTTAAAAGTCGCAAGGCTTGCACTCAGGAGCACCATGCTAGAGGTGAGTCAGTGCTACGAGGTACAGTACGAAGGTACAACGCAGGATGCGGTGCTGCGGCACATCATAACCGTATCCGCGCATTTATTGCACGAACGAGGGGGCAATCTGGCAATTGCCAAGTCCTAACACGTGTATCAACAAGAACAGTGACACGAGACGGATTCTCCCCACTATCCAACCATCGCCGCACACTTGTCTCTCCTCGGCTTTGACCCATCACACATCCCACACCGAAATATTTAACTAAAATATATCCTGCCCTGTCTATAACATCTCCGTCAATCCAGATTTTCGATTGAAAAATAAACGACGCTCTCAAAGGACTACACTTGGTGCACATTTGTTGGTCGCAACTGCAGTCAATTGTGCTCAGCCTCACTCATAGCTCAGATCTTTCCTGGATCCTCTTTCTCTTTCGTCTGACCTCGACCGAACGCCCAACTACCGCTTTTTCTTCTCAACTGTCCGATCCATTTCCAACTTGACAACGCCCGCCCCCTGTGTCCCTCCTCCGCGCTCCGCCCCGATGCATCCCCGATCCTCGGCATTCGTCCCCTGCGCTTTGTCCGCCCCTGCGTCCTCGCAACCATGGGTCGGCACTCGCTCCCCGCTCCGCGCGCCCTCGCTCTCGAACCGCGTCTCCACCTCGCGGCTCTCCGTCGTCCGCATGGTCTCGCTCACGCGCGAGACCTCCCAGGGAACCGTCAAGCGTGTCGTCGTCACAGGAACGGGCGTCGTCTCCTGCTTCGGGTCTGACGCCAACGTCTTCTACGATTCGTTGCTGGCGGGGAAGAGCGGTGTTAAGCCGGTGAAAAACTTTGATTGCGAGGACTGGAACACCAATTTTGCAGCTTGGATCGAGCCCGAGTCTATCGACATCGAAGGCTATGTCCAGCCCAAGTTGTTAAGGAGGCTTGACCCATTTTTGACCTACGCGCTTGTAGCGGGGAAGAAGGCACTTGAGGACGCGGGCTTGCAGATTGGATCCGATCAGCATAAGGCTTTGAACAAAGCGAGGGCGGGCGTCTTGTGTGGCTCGGGAATGGGAGGCTTGAATATTTACTCAGAAGGCGTTGAGAAGCTTATTACAAAAGGCCACAATCGTATGTCCCCGTTCTTCATCCCCTACGCAATCACCAACATGGTACGTTTTATTTTATCGTCGAGAGCGCATCCGGTTGGATAAGAATTGTGTGCTCAAGTGTCTGACCAACCTGCTTTTCTCACTCTGTTGAATATAATAGGGGGCCGCCCTCATAGGGATGCATGCGGGTTTCATGGGGCCCAACTATTCCGTATCAACTGCATGCGCCACAGGTAACTTCATGATCAATAATGCCGCACTGCATATCAGGAGAGGTGATTGTGATTTAGTCGTCGCGGGAGGCTCGGAGGCTGCCATTGTGCCGGTCGGGTTGGGCGGCTTCATTGCATGCCGCGCTCTCTCATCCCGGAAGGACAATCCTACTGGTGCGTCCCGCCCGTGGGATAAAACTAGGGATGGGTTTGTAATGGGTGAGGGGGCTGGACTCATCGTGCTGGAAAGCTTGGAACACGCTTTGGAACGTGGCGCCCCGATTGTCGCAGAGTATTTCGGAGGGGCGCAGAGCTGCGATGCGCATCATATCACCGAGCCGCGACAAGATGGGGGTGGAGTGCGAAAGTGCATCGAGGACGCATTGGCTGACGCGGGGATTGTGAAGGAACAGGTGGAGTATATTAATGCGCATGCAACATCCACACCAGCAGGGGATCTTGCCGAGTTCAGAGCGGTGAGGAGCGTGTTTAACGGTGATGTGAGCAGGTTGAAGATGAACGCAACCAAGTCGATGATCGGACACGCGCTCGGGGCGGCCGGCGGTTTGGAGGCCGTGGCGACTGTCAAGGCAATCGAGAGGGGACAAATCCATCCAACTATTAATGTTCACGAACAAGAACCAGAGGTGGACATTGACATTGTGGCAAACAAGATGCAGGAAGCGGATATCGGTGTGGGAATTTCAAATTCGTTCGGGTTCGGTGGACATAATAGCACGGTGGTGTTCGCGAAATATGAAGAATAGGCTCTGTTTTGCATTCATCGGAAGTCAAATGTCTGAAGTCCAACATGGAATGGCGTCCCTCAAGCCGTTGGTTTGGATGTAAGGGATTGTCACGCTGAACGATGAGAGGGAATAAAATGATGACGAGGTGCTCTGTCGAGGCACGACGAATCTCAGTGATGATTCCACCACCACAAAGCGTTTGCGTATCTTGTTTTGATGTTGTGCATTTGCTGTTTGGCCGTGACGGCCGATGCTGGCATCAACGGATTCGGGCGCGGCGAAGCGAGGGTTGGTGCTGGATGTATATTGGCGTCAGAAGAAAACAACGGTGTCGAAATTGCTGTCGATGAAAATTTTGTACCAGGCAACGGGCGACACAGCTGCTTTTGACGTTGGGATGCAGCGTGGTTTTATGTTTCGCATGTGGTTGGGCGGTGGCGCTAAATGGGAAAGGCGATTTTTTTTCCATAAATTTAGACATTTGTGGTTTAACAGCGGATGAGGAGCGACGGCGATTCGCTGTTCCCGAAATCGTTCCTTCGAATCGAGATCATTCGCACATGTGAAGCTCCGCCCTCTTGGCATCGCACGCACTCTGTCCTCCAATGCCGTACAGCCGGGATTATCGATTGCCCCCCAACCACGTCCTCTTCACATCCCCTGCATCCGTTGCCAACTGAAAACGAACCCTAGCCGAAGTGGCTAAACACACAGGACTATCTGTCGCGCAGCTAGGCATCGGGGGAGGCGCGCTACCTGTGGAACATGAGACAAGCGACGTGTGGAAGAGTAGGGTTTGTGGGTGTGTGCTGGTCAGGCTACCGGCCACGTTTTCTGAGTGGTGAAGCGAGTGCGCGACGAGGCGGAACGATGAATGTTTGCAGCGCTGCACGTGAGGACACGAATGGAGGTCGGGGGCGGGCCGACAGAGGCGCGGAAGCGAGGTCGTCGTTGGTTGCACGAGCGGGCGGAATTGCACGAGGCGCGGGGGTGGCAATGATAGGTCTGGCAGCGGCAGCGGCCTTGCAGGGTATGGAGAACGCGGAGGCGTATGGACTTGTGAAAGGGCGACTGGAGAAATGTCGAGGGGACATGCCATGCATTTCGACGACGTCTGTGGGAAATCCGTCCAAGTTCGGCCCGCCGTGGAGCTACCAGCCAGAGACTGACGATGCTAACGTGGCGTGGCAGTCGCTGAAGAGAGCGGTCGGGGAGAATAGGGATAAGGGGAAGATTGTGGAGGCCATAGATGGGCCGGATGAGTATTACTTGCGAGCTGAGTTTCCGAGCAGCTTTAAAGGGACGGACGATGTGGAGTTTCGACTGTTAACGAAGGACTCGTTGGTGACGTATCGGTCGGCGAGCAGGGAGGCATTTTTTTTGTATCCTCTACAGACGCCGGTGAACACAGATAAGAATAAGACGAGGCTGGTGGATATTCGGCAACAGCTGGGGTGGGAGGAGTTTGCAGGATTCAATTTGTTCGGAGCGTCATTCAAGGATTAGTGGGGGGGAAGTGTAAGGAGGCAGAGATGGAGGAGGACGACTGGGTGGCGGGGAGGGGACATTTCGTGGGGTTGTGGCGTAGTGCTCGCGAGGTAATAGACGAAGGGGAGGAGCGGAGCGGAAGGTGTGTAGTTCTGTAGGGTAGAGTAGTGGAGCGGAGCGACTCGCTCTGTCACCGGACCTGAGAATAGCCTACGTATACATCAAGTGAGGTTGCACGATTGGGGCGGCGACAGGCGTAGGCCGCAGAGATGCAAGCGAGATCTAGAGATGGAGGTGGAGGTTGTGTTGCGGCGCTGTGCGATTGGCGATTGGGCGTGCCGCCCACAATGCGCGGCTGCGCGCGTCGCCCATTGGCTTGTCCCCCGTGCGGGAGCCACTGCGCGCCTGCGTACAACGCCCAATCACCGCCGCTGCGCCACACACTTGCGCGACACTTGGCGCCACCTACGCCCGCGCTTGTTCCAGCCCCGCCTGCTCGCTCGCATCTGCACACCCCCCGTTTTTATTTCCGCTTTTCCACAGCCCGCACAATGCCCTTCGCCCTCCGCCCTTCCTACTCGCTTGGCACATGTCCGGCACATGTCCCCGCGTGCCCGGCAGCAATTCACAGTGTTCCCCCGCACCCTCTATCCGTGCCCGCACTATATAAGTCTTCCAGCTTTCCCCCACCCCTCGCCTCCACCCCGGTAGCCCAGCCAAACCTCGACTTGCTCCATCATGCCGCCATCGAAAAAATCTTCCGTCCCCAAACAACCCCCCTCGTCGTCTACATCGCAACCGCCCTTGCTTCTCTCGTCGCGAAGCGGCCAAATACGTCGCATGCGCTCCGTCCTCGACATGAAACTCGGCCCCATGGTCGCCCCCTGCCTCTCCGCGTTCCCCGACGTCTCGGTATCATCAGAAGAAGAAGGCGCGTCAGAAAAGATGCCGCCAGACCCCTTCGGCATCCCCGCACCCGGCGCCGAGAGGGGGGAGTCCACGCGGAGGGACAGCGCTCGCGGGGCCGTCGTCATCGCGGAGAGTCTCAGCAGGATTGATTTGTCGGCTCTGCTTTGCTGAGACGCGCGCGAGGGAAGCGTCGCGCGGAGGGGATGGTCGTTCTATCGTGCTTATTCGTTATGATTTGTGTTTGCTTGCCTGCTTGGGGAACGTGGTGTAACGTTAGCTGCTCGTACCTTTTTTCGCAGACGCTAGGTGCGACGGACGGGGGGTTTGTCTTTTTGTAAATATTCGAGAGAAGAGTGCACCGTGGGACCACTGCCTACGCTACTCTTTGATGTATTCTACCTATGTTTTCCTTGCCCTGTTCCGTTTTGCCCTGTTCCGTTTACTCTTGTCGCCAGGGCCTTGTCTACGCATGTGGGCAATGTCCATATTGCATACTCGAGCACTATAGGCTATAGGTTGGAACGGCAGACGGAAGTGCATCCGCCGTCAAGAATCGCGTGAGCGGGGGATATGGAGGACATGCAGCGTAATCAGCACAGGCTGGAAAAAGTGGTCGAGCAAAAGGTAGGCGCAACGCCGAAGTGCACGATGCGTAATCGAGTCCTGCGCGTCCGCGAACTAACGCACGGCGAGGGGCCAATCAAAATGGCTGTGTTCCCGGCTGACGCAGGCCGGCGGGCCGGTGAGCACTATGGATGCAACAGGTTCCCCCCCTGGGAGACTCGCGACCGGGCGAGAAATATCTGCCATTCACCCGTGCTCCTACTCGCGCCAGAGCGCCGCCGAGCTCCGTAGACACATGGACATCTGCCCTGATCTCTCGCCCGCGCTCTCGCTGCCTCGAAGATTTTTTTTGCCCCTAAATTCAGCACACATCTCCACGAAGGCTCCCCATGAATTTTCCGCCCCCCTCGTCCATTCTTGACCATTCCTCCTCCAAGTCACACCGCCCCTCCACGTGGCCTGTCACTCATCCTGGCATCATCCTTACACGTGTCGTCACTCTTCCATCGCTTCACTGTAATACACTTTCCTTACACCCACCGCTTCCGCCTTTCCTCTTCTCTCACTCGCCCTTTCGTTGCGCCTCCCAACTCCCCCCCAGTCGGTACCTCCACAGTGTGGAGTCCACACAATCACTCTCCTCATCCCATTCCGCCGTCTTCTTCCCCCTCGTCTCAGCCCCTACCCCGCCCCCTCCACTACCGACACTCATGGCCCGCCGTCCCGTCCCGACCCAACCCCATCCCTACTTTCCCGTCTTCCTTCCGGTCTTGCTCCCCCCCGCCCTCCGTCCCAACCCCCGCTACTTCCCACGTGTGAGACCACGCCGCCCGCGCCACGCTTCACCCATACGCGCCTCTTCGGCAGAGGAAGAGCTTTTCATCCACAGGCATGCCACCCCGCCGGCCACAACCACCCCAACTCCGGACCCGCACAAAAATTCTTCCATTCCCATTATCCCTCCCACCACCACCGACCCGGACGACGCAGAGGAGCACTTCGATTTTGTACGCGAACCCAACGACCAGCCACTTGCCACCCGACAGCAGCACGCCCTCCCGCAACCAACTCAGCCTCCTGCTACGCCCACACGAGACGCCAAGGATGCCAAATCAGAGCGCCCTGCCCCGCCATCCGCCACTACAGGGGAGCCAAAGTCTTCTGCCCCTGCGAAACGAATCGCTGTCCCTGCCAGTGCCCGCCGTTTCGGTCTCCGTTTGAGAAAAGAGACCACTAGGCTGTTCACTGAAAGCCAGCTCGTGTCGAGTGTCCGCATGCCGTCCAAGCGCGAAACCGTTCTCTTCGCGTGGGAGGTCACGCTAGTCATCGCCCTGTTGCTGCTGCTGCGCGCCGGTGTCTCCAGCACGCTCAAGTGGATTCATAACAGGCTCAATGCTACGCGCGGTCTGAAGAGCAATATCCCATATGAAGTGAGCGTCTTTGAGTGTATGCAGCGCCCGCTCGAGTTTCTCAGTTTGTTTACCGTCGGTACGGCTCTGGCGGAGGCCATCAGTCGACCTCTTGCGGCCATCGGCTTGTTAAAGCATATCCGTGTGTTGCGAGAGCTCGGTATTATTATTTCTGCAGCTTGGTTCTTGCTTCGCTGGATCGACAGGATTCGTTCTCGATTTGCCGTCGCAAAGGGAATAGACAAGGCCCAAGTAGACGCCACGTCTCGCATCGCAACAGTCGCTACGTTTATCGGGTCTCTGCTTATCTCTTTGGACACTATTGGAATCAACGTTCAGACCGTGTTGGCTTTTGGAGGGATTGGTGGTGTGGCAATTGGTTTTGCCGGTAGAGAGATCATTTCCAACTTTTTCGGTGGCTTCATGATCTACGTTACACGACCCTTTTCTGTCGGCGAGTGGGTGCGCAGCATCGAAGAAAAGGAGCTTAATGGGACTGTGGAAGATATTGGATGGTATCTCACCCGAGTCCGAACATGGGATAAGCGCCCACTTTACATCCCCAATTCTCGCTTTTCCACTCTTATCGTCGAGAACGGCTCGAGGATGGACAATCGCCGAATTCTGCATACCCTGCATTTGCGGCATGAGGACATGCCTGTTGTCCCAACGATTGTTGCTGCCATTGAGGCCCTCATGATGGGCCATCAGGAGCTGGATCCCCGGCAACATCGTCTGGCATATGTTGATTCCTTTGGAGAATATTCCGTGCGCGTGTGGATCAGTTGTTACACGAAGTCTGTCTTTTTGTACGATTTCCGCAGAGTGCAGCAAGACATTTTGGTTAGGTGCTACGAAATCATTCGTGCAAACGGTGCAAAACTTGCCACCATTAACACTAGGGATGTGCGGCCGGGAGTCGATACCGATCGATATGGTCCGTTTGGAGCGAAAGCGAGCTTCCCTGATATTAGTAACGCAACTCAGCGCATTCAAACCCCGCAACCCGACTTAAGTCGTGTACCGGTCAACAACGATGTGCCCCAGGCGCAGCAATACGGTCCTGCGCCTGTAGTGCGGTTCCACAATATCGAGAGCGGGGTCGATTTTTCACTGGTAGACCCCAATACAGCAAATGGCGTTCCCGCTGGAGTGCCGTGGAACACACCTGCCCCCCCTGTATCCGTCCCAAGCAATGCCGCGACGGATCCAGGAGCGATGAATGACTACACTGCTGAAAGCGCACCACATCGATCAACGTCAGAGGCGGCGGTTGCAGCAGCTGCGGCGGCTCTGACGGCCGCTAGAAGAAACGCAGCGCGGATAGTGGATAATGAAAAAACTGCGACACAACAACCACTTAGGCCAATAGAGTCTGGCGACAGTGCAGGGGCGCCTCCCGAGCCAACTCCAGCAACGACCGCGCCAGTCGGGCAAATGAATATTACAGGGGCCAAGCCTCCTCGAGGGACACAGGCGAAATCAGTTTCATTGTCGGGCCCTCCGGGAACGGAAGCTGTTAAGTGGAATGAAGGCAAGGAAGATGCAGTTACGAAGAACTTGCAAGTGACACCGGCGGTCAATGAGGAGTTGACAACACCATCAATGCCGCTCGTAAGCAATCAGCCGATCACGGCAAGCCCTGGGGAAATGAAAATTACCAAGGGTCGAAAGCCCGCCCAGATAACGACCCCTGTCGACCCTGAAGGGGAAGTTGTGGAGCCAATGGATAGATCTAGTCCACAAGCGACGGACGGCAGGGTAGATGGAATCAAGGTTTCGACAGCGTCAGCTGAAGTGAGACCTATTGCAATCACAAAATCTCAAATGAACAGATCCGTGGGGAAACCGGCGACAGCTGGTGGAACTGCGAAACCCTCAACTAATATTAAGGCTGCAGCCCAATCGGGAAGCAAAGCTTCTCCTGGGACAGTACAGACTGATGGTCGAGGGGGCGCCAGAGGGCAAGCGACTCCAGCTCCCAGAGGCAATGTTCAGTCGTCTCCGGGGCAGGCATCGACGATTCAGCAGAATGCACCAACGAATCCGCCTGCACCATTGGGTGAGATGAATATCTCGAAGGCTCGCAAGCCCGTGCCTCTGCCACCAACCTCGACTGACCCTGATGTCATTAATGGAACACGGACAGAAGCTGTCACATCGCAACCATCCAATTCGGCAGATGAGCAAACGGAGGAGGGATGACTTGACGTTGGGAATGGCCTTGTCGGAGAGGCACACTAACTGCACATAAAGCACAACATTTATTACTATTCACAACCTACTTTTCCTCATCACCTCGCGCGCGTAACAACTGACGACACTTATCTCTTTGTTTGTCTGGCCGCAACGACCTGCCGGCGGCGAAATGGTCATGCGATGCTTCCGAGGGCTTTTCATTTCGCTCAACTCGGCTTTGGCGCCAAAGTAGATCAAAATCTCGCATAATTTTTTTGAAGCTGAGATTCAAACACCTGCTTGTGCAGTTCGTGCACATACTGTAGGTCCTACCAACCTCATGCCCCTCCGTACACAGACCTGAGCTCCGCTTTGCCACCGTCCTTACCCAACTGCGGTGAAAGTCATCTCTGATCGGTGAACAGGTCTGAGTTCCGCCTTGCCACTGCCCCTACATATTGTCGTTCAAGGCATATATCAGTTTTGTTGATTGCGTTTTGCATGTGGAAGAATCACATGTGACCACAATGGCCGTTCTATCCCCTGCTTTAGTCATAGCCATGTGTGTTATGTTTATCTTAACTCGTCTGCACCGTCACTACTACATTTTCGAAAACCCGTTCCTCTTCGGTCTAATCTACTGTTTGGAACCCGATCGCGAGGAAGTCGAGGCAATCATGCAGTCCTCCTCCACCTCGAAACCTTCCCAGTCCTCGCAATCGAACAAGACAAAAGGAAAGCAACCCACTGCACGTGCATCTGTGCAACCTCCGAAGGCCAAGTACTCAGCCACCTCGCTCACAGTCCGCCGCAACGTCCTGAACGAGACATTTTTCTCAGAGGAAGCAGAGTTTCCACACCACCGCCAATTCGACCATCTCATGGCCATTTGCTGTGGCTACTTTGCGGCGTACGCTTTTGAAGAGACTGTTGGCTGCTTTTATCCTAGTTTGCTCGCGAATAAACGCTCGGCTTATGTCGCCATTCTTGGCGTGGGCTTTGCGCTTTTCGAGGCCATACGAATTTCGGTCGGCATGACCTCAGTGAGGATCATGTGCAGTCTGGGAGTGCTGGCTGGGCTCGCGGCCTTGTCAGTTATTTCTGCGGGAAATTTCTCCAGCTTTGTTCGATTTGATGAGGCGTTCGAGAGTCTGGGGGAGGTCGTCACTTCAGTGCTTAGGACTCGCTTGAAGATAAACGTGGCTTCTGCAGACATTTGGGCAAAGAGAATTGCTATGGTGGGGCGCTTTTTCGTTGCGATAGTAGCGGGTTTGATATCTGCTTCTGCCGCGGCCCCTGCACGCTATTTTTCCAAACTTGACTATGAGATGCATTATGAATACCGCGAAGATGAACGAGATCGCCGCGATGACCCTTATTATCTTGGCCGACCGACAGCCTCCACTATGTTCATGGTTGCGCTGGACTATGTAGTCCCATTCTTGACTGTGTTCCTGTGGTGTGTTAGTCCACGCGAGAGGGGCGCTTTCGGACAATGGAGGATTGTATTGCTGCTGGGTTGTGTGTTCTGCAGAATTATCAACCTGCGCCTTCGCTTGCAAGCCTACCTGGACGGTGCAATTGACGGGTATCGGTCTTTCTGGACCACCAAAGCTTCCCTAACTCTTCAGCAAGCGACGCAGAGCACAAGTGTACAGGTACTCAGGAACTCGTTCTACCTGATGATGATCACTGTTCTCTACATTAGTCCAGCTGCCGTACCGTTCTTGCTCGCATGCGTCGCAAAGCTAGATGGCGGTGTGCGGATGGGCATCTGCCCGGTGTCGTCGGTGGTGACTGTTCAAGCGGGAGATATATTTGCCAGAGAGGTTGCGGGTTTCTTGTCGTGGTGGTGCGTGGCTTCGTATCTGCTCTTTGCTGTTATGTCGGTGTCGTACGACTACGTCATGGACGTGATGGACCCGAGCGCGAGAGAAAGGCGGATGAAAGTGCCGCCTCCTGTGAGCTCGTCCGAGAGACGCAAGCAGCGCAGAATGATGCGACAGAACACCGCTGGACAGGCGAGTAAGAGCTAGCTTTGCCAGCAAGTTTGAATACTTGACTTTGGTCTCTAGCTAGCTAGGTGTAGACGAGATTGCTTCGGGCGCAAGAAGGCGGCGTATATCGTTCGATTGACAGCTGGGAGCCTCTCGATATCCGATGACATGTGTGTGAGGGGGGCCTCGCCGAAATTATTATATTTTTCATGGTTTCAGAGTGACTCCGTAGTGTGTCTGGGGTCTGGCTTGTGAGAGTAGCACAATGTGCTTTCCGATTGTACCAAAGTGCATCATTGCCGTTGCTCTTTTGCCCCATCCTCCTCGGGATTAGGCAAGGCGGGAGGGGTGACTAATTTGCATCAGTTGTTTCGAGGGAGGAGCCGTGGTGCTTTGCACCTGATAATAAGCACGCAGTCAAACGCATCGGTTGAATCGAAATTAATGCTGAATCAAGGCAGACCATCCCGCTCCCCACTGCAGACTTGAGGCCCGTGATGGGGCGAAAGGGAGGCGGCGGCGGCACAGCAGGTGGGACAAGAAGCAGTGGGCGAAACGATGTCACGTACCAGAGAGTGGTACCCCGGTTTCTGAGAGGTTTGATTGCGGAGGCTGATGGCCAGGGTGGGCGAGAGAAGGTGCGAAAAGGCGAGAATCAGGACGGCCCGTGTGCTGCGGATACGGATGACAAGAGTTCCATTCTGTCTCCCTCCGCTCGAGGGCAAGGGAATGTGTCGGAAGAGAAAATTTTCACGATTGTGGATGACCACCGAGGTAATGCAGAAGGTGTGACGAAGGCTGAAACAGAAGAGGACGATTCAATTGTAACAGCAAAGAGCCCACATCAATCTCGCATTACGGTTTCAAAGTCGCAGCTACTGCAAGGTGGAATTGAAAAGAAGACGTCACGCGTGAAAAGACCGTCAAAGACATTCGGAAGGAAAGACCGCACGAGGCTGAGCTTTGCCGAATCTGACTCTGACAGCGGCACAGATTAAAGCGAGGCGAGAGCTGACATGCTGATACAGAAAACCGTGCTACCAGAGAAGTATTGTAAAGGACACGTAGTCGTAGAGCGCTTTGAAAGATATTTGCGTGTCACCACACACATAGCCAGGCTTGGTACATGGGCGGTGGTGAAGAAAATGAGCATTTGCGTGTCTGCAAGAAGTGTTCGTTTTAACTACAGCGGATCATCGTGCGGAATATGGCGCTACAAAGCACTGCTGTTCAAAAGATTTAGATTCGGATCGTGCATGCCCCCGTGTCTCCTCAGGGGAGTTGCGGTACACCTCTCGCTGAATCGAGTAGGGCCTGGGCCACAGAACACAGACCTCATCTCCGATTTCCGCACTAGTGGTTAAACAAGGGCTCGAGGTGACATGTGAAAGTAGTCTAACAAGAGGCGGGGATGAGGGGGGATGGTTCTCTTCAGACATTCTTAGATTTATTAATTTCGCCCGCACTATTATTAAGGCCGAGGCCGGCGGCAAGGCCAACTCGGAAACCAAAAGGCAATGGCGGGAAGCGGGAATGGGGGCCGTCAATAAGACGCGAAAAAAAGCGAAGGCCGTGCAGGCAACTGGCCCGGGATATCGGAGCATGTCATTGGTGGTGGAGAAGGTGTGGGGCGGGCTTGAGTTGGTGTGTGGGTGAGAGTGGGAGTGGAAGACATGGTACCGATATGGTACCGATATGGTACCGATATGGTGATTACGGTGGGATGGAAAGTGCGATTGAGGCAGCATCGGGTAAACGAATGTTTTGTTACGTCTTTGGATAATGGTGACCGCAATAGAAGGCGCGAGAGCAGTTTGATGACACACGGGGCCGATGCTAACAACAACAAAAAATAAAAACAAGGTCTGGTTTTTGCATCTGGTGGACATACGCAGGCACCTTTCCCCTGATGCGTATTCCGACACGGACAAAAAAAAGGGCGCTTAAAGAAAAAGAATTACATGATAGTACAGCAGGCTCTCGATTCTTTTGGCTGGGGATGGGGCGTGCCCGGCGGAAGCGGCTGTGTCTTGGAAGCGTTAAGGTTAGTAGCGGGTGGTGGGGAGAGCGACGGGACATGCGGGGCAGGTTTGACCGGCGGTAATGGCTGGACATGCGGGGGTGCATGGTGCTGCGGGTAGTTTTGGGGGACAGGATCAGGGTGGTCGGCGGGGTTGTACGGATGCGGGGAGAGGTTGGGCGGGTCTTGGTCATCATCAGAGTCGGAATCACTCCTATCGGCATAGATATCTGCGTGCTTGCTCTGCCTCGGCGGGTCGCCGACGGTGGCGACAGCCGTGCGATGGTACGAAGGCGGGTGTGCGACTGCGTCCGAGACGAGATGGTCCGAGTTTGGCATGGAGCCCGAGCGCCTGCTTGCCTTGGGCGGGGATCCGTGGAAGGAGGCCGAGTGCCTATCCTTGGCGTCCTTGAACGAGTCTGTGCGGCGGGTGGCGGTGGCGGCGGTCTGGCCCTGGGCGCTGCCCTTGGAGGGGTTGAGGCGGCGCTTCTCGTCGTTGGTGGCGGCCTCGTTCCAGATCTTGAGCTGGTTGATGCGCTCGGCGCTCTTGCTCTCGGCCGTGGGCAGCGGGGTGGACGAGCGGCCCGGGTAGGCGGCGAAGTCGACGCCCTCCGGTAAGCGCCCCTTCATGTAGCGGTTGGCCATCTTCGGCGCGGCGGCGGCGCCGGGCCGGCCCTGGT